TTAGCCTAGTAGATTTGTACTTTCTGGGAAATCAGAGAAGGACTGTAACCAAGACAGAATTGTACAAGTAGTGCTGAATACAAACTGTTATGCTTTCTGAGACCCCCTGACTCAGCCACAGGCTGCCAATGGCAGGCTTGCTGCAAGTGTTATGCGGTGTGCCCTAGACTTGAGTTTTTTGTTAAATGATCTACATGCAGCCTTCACCTCGTTCAGGTAAAGGTTAGTTGCAACCTTGACAGCTATCCAATTGTTATCCGTCGGATTCTTCCTCCATCTACGCTCTAGCCTTCTCCTGATTCGCTTCATCACCTGGAGCTCCTGGTTGAACCAGGGCACTGGACGAGTTCTGCGCTGGAGAGGGCGTTTGGGCGCGATCGTGTCTACCGCCCTGGTGGCAGCGGTGGACCAGCTGTCCACCAGGACATCGACAGGAGCACTAGCCAGGTCAGCCGTGATCCCTCTCATGGCATCCTGGAAACCAATCGGATCCAGTAGTCTTTGAGGGCGGACCATGGAAATAGGCCTCTGCTCCCTGTGAGGGGGGAGAACCACTGTGAGGTTACATTTAATCAGGTGGTGATCTGACCATGACAAGGGGACTGACACCAGGTCCGTCACCATCAGACCACTCTTGCCCCAATTGGAGGAAAAAAACAGGTCCAGAGTGTGACCACCCACGTGGGTGGGGCCGTTGACGTGCTGGGACATGTTCAAGGAAACCATGGTTTCCAGGAACTCGAAAGCTGGCCCGGTAACCTCTGCCTCCACATGCACATTGAAATCACCCAAGACCAGAAGCCTTGGGGATCCCAACAGTGCTGTGGAGACAAAGTCGGCCAGCTCCGGAAGGGAAGTGGCTGGGCTGCAGGGGGCATGGTAGCCCAGCAAAATCCCAATTCCATCCCTGGCCCCTATCAACACGTGGAGCGCCTCTAGACCCGGCCTTACCACCGAGGAGTGCCTGGTAACCTCCAAGCTGGATTTATAGACAATGGCTACTCCCCCCATCCTTCCAGTCAACCCTGGTGCTGGACAGATGAGGGCCAGGGGAGGGCTACCCTCCCCATTGAGCCACGTCTTGGTTATGCATGCCAGGTCAGCATCCTCCTCCAAGATAAGATCTTGAATCACCTGGGGCTTATTGGATACAGACCTGGCATGCAACAGCACCAGGGTTAGAGTGGAAGGCTGGCTGTACTGGCTACCTCGACACTGGGGGTTGGTTACAGTCTCAGAACAGTGAACAGCCTTCAGACATCTGTTCACTGTTCTACTAACACAAGCAGGAACTGTGCCAATACCATATCACCCTCTACCCATGACCACCGGGATGTTAAAAGGCCCCTCGCTGGGCAAGCAGGCCTCCCACTCCATACCAGACAGAACAAAAAAGAAAGAAGAAATAAGGAAGCAGACACTAAATAATATAACAACTTAACAAATAAACACAATACGTTGTAATGCAAAATTATAAATACAATACAAAATAAATTAATTTAAATTAAAAAAGAATGTACAAAAATATATATAATAAAATAGCAGGAGCGTTACCCCCCCCATCTAGACAAAGTCCATCCTCTACCGCCTCGCAACCTTGTCCTTTGAACTTTACTGGTCTTGATGTTCTTAATGATGTTAGTAAATTTTCAACGGTTGTTTGGAGTGATATTGAACCCAAGGAAAATGCCGAAGTGAGGGTGTTACTCACGAGTTGGATCAAAATGAAAAGAACAGGCAGCGTCGGGAGCAGCAAAGACCAGGCAAAAGGATGATTAGTCCCTGGTTTCCCCTTTACCCTTCCTTAGAGGGATGGCAAGATGTTTTTGCAGATAGTCCAGGAAGGGCAGGATGAGCAGTCCGAAGCTGGAAAAGGAGCTGCCCGCAGGGAGCCCAACATGGCGGCCACCCAGCAAGTTGGCTCTCTCTTCGGTCGATGAGGATCTTCCTTCCACCACCGCACCACAGATAATCCGCCTCTTCGCCACAGCGGCCAGGGATCCACAGCGCTCACAAACGGCACTGTCCCCACCGCTAGCCCCAGGAGATCTAACGACCCAGGTTCCAGGCTTCGGGCTCCGACCTCGACCGTGCGGTCGGAGCGAGGATTATCAGGGAAGGGCGGGCGCCCAGCTGCCAGAAGCCGATCCTTCTCCTCCTCCTCCTCCTCCAGGAAGGTCCCTGACATAAGCCTGGCCGGTGTGCCCGTTCCCCGGCAGGGCAGCTCCCCGGCGATCATAAAGCCCAGTTCCTCAGCAGCGGGAAAGCGCCCGAAACGCCACCTCTTGCGGGCAGCGAGGCTCCCGAGCGTCCAAGCTCCGCTGAAGCCTGGAAACCCAGATCGGACCTCAACCCTGGCTCCGCGTTTAAGCTCCGGCTCCAACCCCGCTGTCCCACACTCGATGCGGCAGCCAGCAATCGAAGGGTGAGGAGATGGTCCAGAAAAGAGGGGAGAAGAGGAGAGAAAAGAATAATAAAAGAGCACAAGAGGCGAGCCGGCGCGGCGG